AAACCAGCTCAAACACACATACACACTCACACAAATCAACAGATAGCAAATGAACGTATGAAAATCATTCATTAGCGTTTGCAGTAGCGCATCATTTAGGGATAAATATTGGGTATAACCCGAAAAATATGACGCATTCGTCGAAACCCAAAGTGCATCTTCGATCTCAGAATTGATTTATCAGGCTATCAGAATTTATTGGTGGTTTTCTGACAAACGTCGATCGTTACTTTAACGTGGTGGGAATAAACAAAACATTTCGACAGCTAATGCATAATAATTCACTATTTCAGGGGTTTGAGAAGAGGTTTATGACGGATCCTAAATAGAAAACGGGTCGACCTGAGGCACCATTGTTGGCTCGGGGGGACACAATAATCAGCACCAATGACCAACACCAATGACCAAGAGCATTGTGGGGGAGCTATATTCGAAACATCGAAAGCTACAATACACCAATGCTTCCAATTGATCGCTATACCTTCAAATATTAAACACAAATAATAGTGAATTAACAAGTACAAATAATTTAACCGAGCCCATCCTTTCACCCAAAATCCAAACGAAATAAAGAAACAAAAAAAAAAAAAAACCAAAAGGCACAAGTTTTTGTGGGATGGTTTTTTATTTTTATTTTTGGAAAAGTCCATATAATCTGATTACTCTTTAATCAAATTTCGCTATATTGTGTCCAGAAATCAGAATTTTTTACCAAAATATTTCAGCATAGCGTGGCATAGTAAAACGAAAAATCCTCTTTCTTGAATTCCAATGCTTACTTTTTGATAATTTCACCATTTACATCGAATGAAGAAATCAATCAATTCTTAACTTTGCTAATACCAGTGAGCTTAAACCCAGGAGGCATGATAATCTCTCCTTCATGTCCTGGAAAGTAGTTTCTCACCTTTGCGTTGACGCAAGCAAATCCGGATCCAGTGGCGGCGGCTCTGCCAGCGAGTTTCTGCCACCGGTTCTCGGAGAGACAGGTCAACACGGTCAGCTGGTCCTAATCGATATCCTCCACAACTTCCGCCGATTCAGCCGCTCGGACAGATCAACACATTGGAAAACCTAATTTGCAAAAACTATAAAAATTTTCAATAAAATATGAAGAATATTGAAAAAAACCAAACGTTGGTGCTAAGAAGAAGAGGAAAAAATCGACATTTTGAGAATTTTCTGTAAGAAGAATAAATTGGTCGGAAATTTTAGGGGAAAAGATAAAGGAAAAACAGAAAGGATTGAAACAACGACATTTTAAAAAGAGGCGACGTGGCCTCACCAATTTCAAGAAACACGTGTCAGATATGAAGTCATTCACTTCCTTTTTATAGATAAGAGAATAGATATAAATTACCATGCAATGGTGCGACAATTTAAAATAACTCGAGAACCTCAACTATTACACCGAAATCATTGCTTATAGTTTTATTTATTTATGGCCAAGTCTCTGAACAAATTCTTTCGTAAAGAATTTACACATGCAAGTAAAACTTGGTCAATTCAAGTAAAGCTTTTGATTAACAAATTGTTTCATAACTTCCATTAACAAATTCTTCCATAACAATTAATTTAATTTATTCGATTCAAGTAAAATTTTTATTTGACAATATAATTATGCATTGTAGACATACTCTAATATTACATGTAAGAAATTCAACGGGCATATTCATAACTATAATATTATCTTCAGCGATGTGTTTCTCTCTCCCGCGTCTCTCGTCCTTCATAAAGCCTTGATATTGAGAACTCTATCTTCGTATGAGCCGAGAGAGAGAGAGAGAGAGAG